AGGCCTATAATCCCAGCACTTGGGAGGTCTAGGTGGGCAGATCACTTGAGGTCAGGAGTTCAGAACCACCCTGGCCAACGTGGTCAAATCCCATCTCTAAAAATACAAAAATTCGCCAGGCATGATGATGGGTGCCTGTAGTCCCAGCTACTCAAGTGGCTGAGGCATGAGAATCGCCTGAACCCAGGAGGCAGAAGTGGCAGTGAGCCAAGATCCTACCGCTGCACTCCATCCTGGTTGCCAAGACTCCATCTCAAAAAAAGATAATAAAAATATTTTTTTTCTAAAATATTAACAGTATTTTAAAATTAGAAGAAAAAGGAAAAAATGAACAGTACCAGACTATTTATAATTAAGAGTCAATAAATGGTAGAAACAAGAATAAATGTTAGAAAGATTCATGAAAGAGAGCATTTATATCCTGAGGATGTACACAGGATTTGGATCACTGCAACGTAGATGTTACAGGCTGGGAAGCAGAATGTACATAGCTTAGAGAGGAGAATTACTGTATGTATGTATGTATGTATGTATGTATGTATGTATTTATTTATTTTGAGACAAAGTCTTGCTCTGTCACCCAGGCTGGAATGCAGTGGCGCCATCTCAGCTCACTGCAACCTCCGCCTCCTGGGCTCAAGCAGTTCTCCTGCCTCAGCCTCCCGAGTAGCTGGGATTACAGGCATGTGCCACTACACCAGGTTAATTTTGTATTTTTAGCAGAGACGGGGTTTCACCATGTTGCCCAGGCTGGCCTTGAAAGTCCTGACCTAAGGTGATCCACCTGCCTTGGCCTCCCAAAGTGCTGGAATTACAGGCATGAGCCACCGCGTCCGGCCTAGAGATGAGAATTATCTGAGAGCATTGAACAGACAAGAGGAAAACTCTCTGAAGTGGAAGTATTATCATTGTGGAATTCTGGGAATTAAGTGTGGGCGGGAGGGCAGATGTACAAGTAGTAGCAGACAAAACAGACTCAAGACAGCTGAGTCAAACTCCAGCCGCAGGAAAAGCCAAGAAGAAACCTGCTTTGCACTGCAGAACACAAAGGCGGCTCGGCACTGCCGGCTCCCGGTACCATGACGTGAGAGCTACAATTAAAAGGATGAACGTCTATTTCAGAAACAGACCCCAGCATTCCTCTCCCTCACTACAAGCAGCTAAACCTCTGATTCTTCCAAACCCAGCTGATACAGTTTGGAAATTTGTCCACTCCAAATCTTCTGTTGAAATGTGATTCCCAATGCTGGAGGTGTGGGCTAGTGGGAGGTTTTTGGGTCATGGGGACAGATCCCTCATGAATAGCTTAGTTGCCCTCCCCACAGTAATAACTTCCCCGGAGATCTGGTTGTGAAAGAGATCAGGACCTCCCTCCTCTCTCGTTTCCTCTCTATGTGACAAGCCTGCTCCCACTCTGCCTTCTGCCATGATTATAAGCTTTCTGAGGCTGTCACCAGAAGCCGATGCCAGCACTATGTGTCTCGTAGTCTGCAGAACCTTAAGTCAAAATAAACCTCTTTTCTTTATAAATTAACCAGCCTGATAGTCCTTTATAGCAACACAAAATACTGGAGTTTTTTTTGGAAAGGGTAAAACAGAGTTTTTCTGTTCTGGGGGAAAGCAAGTACAGGTGAGAGTGGGGATGCCATCGTGAAAATACAGACTCTAAGTTTACAGGTTAGACGTGGGGACGACTCAGCATTCAAAATCTACTTCGTCCCTAGAGCTCTCACAGCCACGCATATCAATTCAAGGTGGGTGTTGGCAGTTTCTCTGACAAGTCTGACCAGTCAAAAGGGAAGCCCCTCAAGACACAAATATCAAAGGCTTTGTAAGGAAAGAGCCCTACAGTGAAGACCACAGTCAACAAGCCCTATGTGCATACTCAGAGCTTCAGATAGGCTTCCAGTAACTTCACTTTTTTTAGATGGAGTCTCACTCTGTCACCCAGGCTGGAGTGCAGTGGCATCATCTCAGCTCACTGCAACCTCCACCTTCTGGGTTCAAGTGACATTCATGCCTCAGCCTCCTACATAGCTGAGATTACAGGCACCCGCCACCACACTCGGCTAATTTTTGTATTTTTAGTAGATGAGGGGTTTCAACAAGTTGGCCAGGCTGCTCTCGAACTGCTAACAGAGGCAGGAGGATCAGCTGAGGCCAGAGTTTGAGACCAGCCTGAACAACATGGAGAAACGCTGTCTCTACTAACAATACAAAAATTAGCTGGGTGTGGTGGCGCAGGCCTGTGATTCCAGCTGCGCAGGAGACTGAGGCACAAGAATCGCTGGAATCCAGGAGGTGGAGGTTGCAGTGAGCTGAGATCATGCCACTGCACTCCAGCCTGGGTGACAGAGTGAGACCCTGTCTCAAAAGACAAAAAAGGAAAAAAAAGTTAATTTTACGTAAATTGTATGGCATGTGATATGTATCTTGGTAGTACTATTACCAGGTCAGGCAAAGTGGGTCATGTCTGTACTCCCAACACATTGGGAGGCTGAGGCAGGTGAATCTCATGAGCCAAGCAGTTCAAGACCAGCCTGAGTAGTATGGAAAAACCCTGTCTCTACAAAAAAATAAGAAAAATTAGCCAGTTGTGGTGGTGTGCGCCTGTAGTCCCAGCTACTCGGGTGGCTCAGGTGGGATAATCACCTGAGCCTGGGAGTTCGCGGCTGCAGTGAGCCATGATCGTGCCATTGCCTCTAGCCTGGGTGACAGAGCAAAACTCTGTCTCCAAAATAAAACAGCAGTTATCAAAAAAAGTTTAACTTTGTAAGTAAGTTTAATGTCAAGAATTAAATTTCCAGTTACAAAAGTCCTTTTAGCTCTTGCAGCTGAAATGGTACAAGGAATGCTTATTCTTCATTTCTCAGGTTTACACTCTCCTCCCTGACATCCATTTGTAGGGTACAGAATATTCATTAAGTTGGATGCTCCTAAGTCACAGAATGGCTTTATCTTTATAAGTTCTTAATAAGGTGATGCAGTCATGTAATATCAGATGTGCAAATAAATGTCTATAATCCCAGCACTTTGGGAAGCCGAGGCAGGAGGATCGCCTGGACCCAGAAGTTCTAAACTAGCCTGGACAACTTAGAGTAGCTACCAAAAATCAAAAAATTAGTCGGGTGTGTGGTGCACACCTGTAGCCCCAGCTACTCAGGAGGCTGACGGGGGAAGGTCACTTGAGCCCAGGAGACAGAGAATACAATGAGCCGTGACTGGACCAGCACTCCAGCCTAGGTGACAGAGCAAGACCCTGTCTCAAAAAAAAAAGAAAAAAAAAATTGTAGTTTGCCCTTTTTGGATTTCTAATTACAAAGGGAATAAAAACCCTATTATTAATCAGCAACTGATTTCTTAATCCTTCTTTAATTATTTTTTTTTTTTTTACAGATAAGGTCTCAGTTTGTTGCCTAGGATGGTCTTGAACTCCAGGGCTCATGTGATCCTCCTGCCTCAGCCTCCCAAAGTGCTGGGATTACAGACATGAGCCACCATGTCCAGCCTGATTTACAAATTCCTATAACCCATGCGGTCCTCAGACATTTTAAAATAAAATTGTACATTTTTTTCCATTACAAAGTAATATTTGCTCAAGAACAAAATTACATATTTACCATTATTTCCTCAGAATATATGCCTAGAACATTATAGCAATTATATATTTTTTAAATAGAGGCAATTTTTCTCAAAAAAATGACAATACTTTCATAAAACATGAACATCCAAACTAATATTTACATAAACAAGATAAATATTGATCAGTAAATTAATGACATAAAAATATGTAAAATATAATTTAAAATATAAAACCATAAAAGATATAATTATGTAATATTTGGTATAACTAATAACAAACATATAAGCTTACCTGATAACATCCGCTGCCCCAGTCAGGGTAGCTCAGCTTCCTCTCACACTTTTCCATAACAAATGCTGATTTCTGAATTTGACAAACTGAATGAGGTCCATACTTTTCAGCACCATAGTTCTTAAAAATTTCTGAGGCAAACAAGAAACGTCTCCCTAAAAATTGACTTTTGGCTCAAAGAACAAGAAATTGATTGATGCATTCCATTTTTATGTTTCATAGAAATTTTAAATTTAATAAATTAGGAAACACAGGATTCCGAACTCACACTAGGTTCTCAATAAAGGAATGAACAGGAGAAAATTACTATATCAGAAACAAGGGAATAAAACGGTCTGGAGTTTTCTAGGCTAAATAAATAGAAGGACTAGCACTAAGAATCATTAGATCACTAGATACCAACATAAGAATCATCTTCACTGGTGGTCTAAACAGGAGGCCCCTCCAAATGACCCATGATAGGATGAGGCCGAGTGATTTCTACCATGGAGGCTTTTTGGGGGTGTTGCAGCATTTGCAGAACTTTCTCATATTTTCACCTTGTGTCACCTCCTGGAAATCCATAAATATTAGGTCGGTGCAAATGTAACTGTGGTTTTTACGCTAATGGCAAAACTGCAATTACCCTTGCACCAATCTAGTAACATGCTGATCTAATCTCACATGAAGCACAAACCTGCAGAGGTACAGGGTGGAATTAAGGACCTCTAAATACCTAATGAACAAAGGGACAAAGCTCTTAAACCCTAGCAATAATTTGATCTCTTTAGGCTCTATACACTAAGTTTTCTTTTGGAAAGCAGAGTTTCCATTAGCCCATTTTGAAATATCATGAAGATGTTTTATGTCAGTTTTGATAAATCTTAATAATATAAGCTAAGAAGAAAATGTAAATTAGAATAAAACAGAATTTATGAGTTTCAGAGCTTTTGAAAAATCTAATGATCAGTGTCTAAAATGGGGTTCAGGGCTAGATGTGGTGGCTCACGCCTAAAATTCCAACACTTTGGGAGGCCAAGGAGGGAGGACTGCTTGAGGCCAGGAGATGAGGCCAGCCTGGGTAACAAAGCAAGTCCCATCTCTACAAAAAATTTTAAAAATCAGTCAGGTGTGGAGATGCATGCCTGTAGAGTCCTGGCTCTGGGGGGTCTGAGGCAGGAGAATCACTTGAGCCCAAGAGTTACAGGTTACAGTGAACTAGGATGGGGTGCCACTGCACTCCAACCTGGGTGACAGAGACCTTGTCTCTAAAAGATAATAGTAAAACAGAGTTCAGCAAACTACAACCCTCAGGCCGCATCCTTGCACACTCATTCATTTACATATTGTCTGTAACTGCTTTCAGACTGTAACAGCAGAGTTAGATAGTTAAATCATAAAGTTACAGAAACTTTATGACCCACAAAGCCCAAAATACTTATAATCTTGTCCTTTACAAAAAAAAGTTTGCCAACTCCAGCTCTAAAACAATAACACATGAGAGTTTATCTCTGGCAAATCCATGACTGACAGATCTATGCATTTCTTTTTCTTTAACATGGAACTGCTGAGCAGTCATAAGTCATTATAATATTTATCTATGTATATATGTATTTATTTATTTGTATTCGAGATGGGGTTTTACGGTGTTGCCCAGGCTGGAGTAGAGTGGCATCATCTGGGCTCACTGCAACCTCTGCCTTGCAGGCTGCTCAAGCAATCCTCAGGCCTTGTCCTCCTGCACAGCTGAAACCACAGGTGTGCACCATCACCTCTGGCTAATTTTTTGCATTTTGGGTAGAGATGAGTTTCACTATGTTGCTCGGCTGGCATCAAACTCCTGAGCTCAAGCAGTTCAACTGCCTCAGCCTCCCAAAGTGCTAGGATTACGGGCGTGAGCCACTGCACCTGGCCAGGACATTTATTAAATAGATTAGTGATGAGGAAAAATGACTGCAGGAATCCAGTTACATCTGCCAAGTTTAAGAGTAAAAGGTAAAAATACAAAAATTTAGAATTTAAATGCCTTAGTCTGTAATAAAGTATAGAATGAGGGTGGGCGTTTGCAGACTAGGTTAAAACTTCTGATGAACACAGAGAAACACTACTTACTGCTCTTTATTACATCAGATGCGAGAATATTTCTGCTTATAAAGGTAATTAGTGTGAGCTATAACTATTATTGCAGAAGACCCAATGGCCATACTGCTTATTCCTTTGACGTCTTCTTCATTTATATGTATTAAGAGAAAACAAATAATATGATAATAAATCTTACTGGCCATAAGACAAGAATATTATTTTGATATCTGAAGAGTCACCTGTTGCTTCTAACTTACATAAAATGCACATTCTCCACAAGAGGAAAAGCAGCTCATCTAAGGTGTTTTAATAAAAAGAGCCTGGTGCTGGAGGATCTTGCACTGACACCAATTAACTGCATCACTTAGTGTCTGTTTGCTTATCTGTGAAATACAGTAATATCTTCCTTATGTTTCTCATAATGTTTTTAGAAGAATAAAATGGTAAGGATGAAAGTGCTCTGCAAATGGAAAGTGCTATGCAGACACAAGGTATGACCACAACACAGCGTGTGTGCATGCACACGCTAATAATCCCTTCTATGCGTCAGGCACAGTTCTAAGCACTTACTACGTTAATTCATTTGATTCTCACAGCTCTAAGTATTGTCTCCATTGCACAGATGAAGAAACAGGCAGAGAAAAATTAGGTAACTTATTACATATGGATAGCAGCTGAACTATAAAGCAAACTCAGTCATACTCTAGGGTCTGTGCCCTCATCCACTGTTTTATATTGCTAACATATAATTTTAATATGTACATAACACTTCATTTCACTAGCTGACTAACCTGGTTGATTTTCCAATATTCTACAGTCTGAGTTGCGCTGATATTCACCACTTAAATGCCAACTGAATTCCTGACTGAAAGGGCAATAGTCAGCAATTTCCACTGATCCACCATAATAAGGCAAATCTTCTGCAGGTGTTCCAGTGAGTTCATCAAAGTACTACAAAAAAATATTGGGAAGACAAGAAAGTAAGAAACATTCTGTGTAAACAAAAGGAAGTGCACAGGTAATTTCTTGCAACTCTCTAATGCTATATAACACAAGATATGAATGTACCTTTCTTCATAAATTGCACCAAATAAAGAAGACAGCAATATACCACTAGAGGAGTATTTTAAGGTTGCTCTAGTTCTACAAATAAGCAAGGTAAGTAAATTAGTCTAAGCTATGTATGACAACGGCAAATTAAACTAATGTTTTAAAAGAATGAAATAGTTTTAATTACACTAAGAAAAGTTTTGCGTTGAGAAAACATAGAACTCATCCATAAAATTACAACATTCTTTTTGTTTTAGTTTATGAATTTTTAATATATTTTTCAAGTATTTTTAGGAGACAGTTTATATGTTGTTCTAACAAAAATAAAAAAATTAAAATCTGAGAAAATAAATGCGATCATATATATAAAATCCTTTGAACACCAAAGGAACAGGGCACCAGACAAATTTTATTGTTCCTTTCTTTTTTAAATAATTTTATTGCTGGGTGCAGTGGATCACACCTGTAATCCCAGCACTTTGGGAGATGGAGGCGGCCCGATCACCTGAGTTCAGAAGTTTAAGACCAGTCTGGCCAACATATAGTGAAACCCCATCTGTATTTAAAAAAAAAAAAAATTAGCTGGGCATGTTGGTGCACACCTGCAGTTCCAGCTACTTAAGAAACTGAGGCAGGGGAATCGCTTGAACCCGGGAGGCAGAGGTTGCAGTGAGTTGAGATTGTGCCACTGCACTCCGCCTGGGCAACAGGGCAAAACTCCATCTCCCGCCAACAAAAAAAAATAAATTTAAAAAATTAAAGTAATTTTATGTGTTTTCACACCCCTGGATACACCGAATAAATTTTTAAAGATGTCACATTTTCCAACAACTTACTGAGTTACACTACTATGTCTCTGAATACAGCTGCTATTTTATGGTGTATAAAACATTCAATGAGCTCTTAAATATGTGTAGGAAGCTAAAAATTCAGCAGCCTTATTTTAAATTAGCTTCTGAGACATCATTTCTGACAAAAGATTCCTTGTAAATGGCAGGTAAAGCTGAGGCTTTTAAAGATAAAGATCATGGCGGGCACAGTGGCTCAAGTGTGTAATCCCAACACTTTGGGAGGCCAAGGCGGGTAGACCACTTAAGGTCAGGAGTTCAGGATCAGCCTGGCCAACATGGCAAAACCCTGTCTCTACTAGAAATACAAAAATTAGTCAGATATGTTGGCTCACACCTGTAATCCCAGCACTTTAGGAGGCTGAGGCATGTGATCACTTGAGGCCAGGAGTTCGAGACCACCCTGGGCAACATGGTGAAACCCTATCTCTACTAAAAATACAAAAATTACCCAGGCATGGTGGCTCACACCTGTAATCCCAGCTACTCAGGAGGCTGAGGCACCAAAAGATAAAAGATAAAAAGAAATATAAAGGTCAAATCAGATCAGACTGTATATGTGGAACTATTTCCTTAATCTTTCAGATTCCAGGAATCAAATCTTTTCAAAAGCAGAGCTTCCAAGTCTTCTAATTAATTGAATTACAGTACTTAAGTTATTTTCTTTGAAGATTTTTTTTCTGTGTAAATTAGAGGAATTTAAATAGCAAGACGTTGGAAACGATTTGAAAACATAAACAGGTAAAAATAGATCAAATATGCAAATTCTTCTTGCCATTATTGTAAAACATGGCTAGACTTTAACTAACTGCTATCAATTAGGAAATTAGTTATAAAGAAATGGAAGCATTATTCCATTATTTCTAACTTACAGAAAACAGAGCCTTACAAATTGAGAAACTTAAGAGAATTTACTCTTTTAATTAAAATGGATACTACTTTTTAAAAAGCTGATTCCTAAAATTGTGCCCCAAACCAGTTTTACCTGGTATTCCTGTGGTAAAGGCTTAGGAAACTTCTGCAAATTACACACTGCAACTGCTCTCTGGTCCTGTCTGCAAGTTAACTGCAGTGGATTACTTCTGAGCGTGTCACAGTAAGGGCTCAGCATCTGCCTCCTGCAAACAGAGAGAGGTACCACGGTGTCAAACTCTAACGAAAATACTGCAAGTCCATTGTAGAGCCAGCAAATGGAATTTTAGATTCTGGCCTAAATACAGACCTTCATAATTAACAAATGGGATTCTTGGAAAGAGATGGACATAATGCCCTATGCCCTGCTGCTACAAAGAGGGGGACTGTTTCCGTTCAATAATCTAGTTAAGGGAATCGTATTTGACAATTTCTCTAATTGACCACCTTCACAAGACAACCTTATTTGCATGTGCAAAACAAAGATTGTGTGAATATTCCTAATTGTTACCAACTTGTTCTGTTACCTTAAATGTAACTTGGAAGGTATAAATTGAAAAAAGGGCCTTGTAAATTAACAAAACACATCAGAGTCTATTGCACTGTCTTGCAAAAATAACCTTCAAACAAACCTGTAATTCTTAGCAGTCAGCAAATGGACAATTTTCAATATAAAAATTTATTACATCAACATTAGGGAGGAACAATTTTCAATATAAAAATTATATTAATATCATAATAATTTTATAAATAAAATCTCAGTGTTCCTAAGTAATTGAAATCCTGTTAATATTGGTCTACCAACTTATAATAGGATCACTGACAATTTTCTTCTTCTTCCACATATTTCTTAAGGAAAAAAAGCCTGTATTAAATATTTCTAATTTTAAGGAGAATTGATGACTTGTCTTATTTACATGAACATGGCGTATGAGTAAAACATCTTTAGGGAGTTACAGCTTCCTAAGATAAGACGTGTAAAATAATTACCGCAGTCTTCAGCAAATTTGAAGCAGCACAGTGTAACGGGAAAACAAAGGTTCTGGAGCCATCACACAGGTTTGGGTTCAAACACCAGTACCAGCCACATTTATTTGGAATTTACTTACCTTTCCTGAGCTTCAACTATAAAGCACTCAGTACCCAGCACATATAACTTAATAAATGTAATTTCTGCTGTTTATACCATTTTAATAAAATCTTCATATAAGGCAATATTTTAACTTCCCATGATAAAGCTTCCAATGAATATGGAAGTTCAATAGTTCTCAATCAGTCACTTTCTGGATACCATGAAACTCATTTTTGTTTTTTCCTAAAACCAAAACATATATTATATTTATTTATTATATAAAATGAGTTTTGGCTAAATGAATACAAGGAAAACAGAAGTTAAAAGTTAGTGATTTTAAATTAAATACTCCAAAGTTAGAGCTGTCCAAGATTCATGGCTTAATAATTCCAGAGAAGCACTGTCAAGAGAGCTGTCTGCATCGATGGAAAAGGTCTATATCTGTGCTATCCAACGCAGTAGCCACTAATCATGTATGTCACTTGAAAGGTGACTGAGGAGCTAAATTTTAAACGGTATTTAACTTTAACTAATTTAAATATAAGTTTAGCCACTTGTGGCTAATGGTATCATGTTAGACAGTATAGCTATAGAGCCAGTTAACATCAAATGAGCTAGGCAGGGGAGTTGGGTGATTTATCAATTTTAGTTGCTTCACACATAGAAAGAACCTTATTTTAAGAATGTGTAGATTCAAGTGATTCAAGTAAGGATGGCTCTGCCTATGCTCGCTCAACCAATCCCTTCTCACACCGGTTTCCCAACAATAGGTAAGTGTCACACGATGAAGCCTAGAAGGTAAGCATCAGCCCCTGTGCAAGATATACATATTAGAGATTCCCGTATAACCTAAATACACATATAGGCAGACTGGGTCTGTGGCGTCAGAAGATGGCTTCAATCCTGTAAATGATTCTGAACTTCAACGCTTCACTTATAACCTCACATATAACTTCAATTCTTACGTATGCTAGGCACTGACTACTTTGTAGTTGAAGTGAAACATCTGAATGATTATGACAGGGGTCAGGGAACTCAACTCTTGGTTCAAATCCTGGCCATGACCTGTTTTTTTGTTGCCAATTTTTTGTTTTTGAGACAGGGTCTCATTGCCCAGGCTGGAGTGCAGTGTCACAATCATAGCTCACTGCAGCCCTGACCTTCTGAGCTCAAGCAATCCTCCCACATTAGCCTCACAAGCAGGTGGGACTACAAGCATGTGCCACCATGCTAATTTACCTTTTGTAGAGATGGGGAAGATCATAGGAACATGGCTATGCCCACTTGCTTTGCCTCTTGCTGTATAAAAGCAAAGGTAAGTAGTTGGGACAGCAATTATAACAACCCTCAAAACCTAAAATATTTACTGTCTGGAACTTAAACAAAAAAAAAACTTCGCTGACACTGGTTTATAAATCAAAGGATAGCAAAAAATTCAGGGGACCCACAGTTTTAGTTTTCAAGAATAAAGAAGTAGAAGTTCCCTTCTGTTTTTGGTCTTAGGTGATCCCATATTTGGGACCAAAAGGGGAATAAACAGAGTTGCAATTGTTAACAGAAAAATAAGCAAACAAAAACCTCCCCAAGCTCTTGCAGCTGCAGTGTTAGTTACACACACTTCCACTGACACACTGGAACAGTGGTTCCCAAATTCCATTACACAGTGAAATCACTTGGGAATTTATTAAAACAAAACAAAAAATCACACAATGCTAGTGCCTGGCTCTTACCACAGTCATGATACAAATAGTGACTTGGGTATGAAGAGTTCTTCAAGTTCTCTAGATGATTTTCAGAAGCAGCAAAATTTGAGAACCACCAACTGGCCAATGAAGTTGTCGTGCTGGGGTTAACAAGCTTTCCCCAGAGTGGCTGCAGGTGCTTCTCACTACTGCCTTTCTTTTGAGATGGAGTTTCACTCTTGTTACCCAGGCTGGAGTGCAATGGCGCGATCTCAGCTCACCGCAACCTCCGCCTCCCAGGTTCAAGCGATTCTCCTGCCTCAGCCTCCCAAGTGGCTGGGATCACAGGCATGCGCCACCATGCCTGGCTATTTTTTGTATTTTTAGTAGAGACGGGGTTTCACCATGTTGGTCAGGCTGGTCTTGAGCTTCTGACCTCATGATCCACCCACCTCAGCCTCCCAAAGTGCTGGAATTACAGGCGTGAGCTTTTTAAAAAAAAAAAGAAAAAGAAAAACAAAACAAAGAGTCTCGCTCTGTCATCAGACTGGAGTGCTGTGGTGCCATCCCAGCTCACTGCAACCTCCACTTCCCAGGTTCAAGCGATTCTCCTGCCTCAGCCTCCCAAGTAGCTGGGATTACAGGTGCAAGCCACCACACCGAGCTCATGTTTTTGTATTTTTAATAGAGATGGTATTTCACCATGTTGGCCAGGATGGTCTCCATCTCCTGACCTCGTGATCGGCCTGCCTCAGCCTCCCAAAGTGCTGGGATTACAGGCATGAGCCACCAAGCCTGGCCCTGCCTACTGTTTTCAAATTAGGGTCATAACTCAGAGGTTAGACTCCTTAGTAGAAACTACAAGTGATTTAAATTGCTTTATGACCTAACCCAGGTAAGAAAAGATGAGAATAATACTTTTTTTTTTTTTGAGACAGGATCTTGCTCTGTCATCCACACTGGAGTGCAGTGGCATGATCACAGCTCAACGCAGCTGTGACCTCCTGGGCTCAAAGAGATCCTCTCACCACAGTACCCAAGTAGCTGGAACTGCAGGGCATGCCACCATGCCAGGCTAATTTTTTTACTTTGTAGAGATGAGGTCATATGTTGCCCAGGCTGGTCTCAAACTCCTGGGTTCAAGTGAATTTTCCTCTTCCCAAAGTGCTGCAATTACAGGTGTTAGCCACTACACCTGGCCTATCTGAGGAAATTTTTTTAAATATAAAAATAAAAATTTAAGTACCACTTATAATTCCTGCAAGATGGAGTATATATGCTTTTTCCTATTCCTCTAAATACAACTAAAAGCCTGGACATTGTAAATTAAAGAAATATAAGAAGACTCTGAAGGGTAGAGAGAAGTCAGACTACTTAGGGACATTAGGACTCAAACACTGATATGGTGGTACATTGTCTCCACAACTGATAGACCAGCTAGGCAGGAAATCAGCAATGACACAGAGGGACTTAACACCATCAACCAACAGAATGGAACTGACATTAACACAACACTCTACCCAATATCATACTGTACATTTTTTTCAAGTGCCAATGAAACATATATCAAGATTGCCTGGCTGCGGTGGCTCACATCTGTAATCCCAACACTGGAAGGCCAAGGCAGGCGGATCACCTGAGGTCAGGAGTTCAAGACCAGCGTAATCAACACGATGAAACCTGATCTCCACTAAAAGTAACAAAAAATTAGCCGGGCACAGTGGTGGGCACCTGTGGTCCCAGCTACTTGGGAGGCTGAGGCAGGAGAAGGTCTTGAAGTCAGCAGGCGGAGGCTACAGTGAGCCAAGATCATACCACTGTACTCCAGCCAAGGTGGCAGAGTGAAACTCTG